CTAAATGCAAATGTGTACATTTAGGAACAAAGAAAGTAGGCCATACTTATAGGATGGAGAACTCTGTCCTGGGAAGCAGTGGTGGATAATCTACAGAATATGAACTCCTAATGTGATGCTGCATCCAAAAGAGCTAATGCAATCCTGGGATGCATAAGCAGGGGAATCTCGAGTAGGAGCAGAGAGGTTATTTTACCTCTGTATTTGGCACTGGTGCAACTGCTGCTGGAATACTGTCTGGTTCTGATGCCCACAGTTCAAGAAGGATGTTGCTAAATTGAAGAGGGGTCAGTGAAGAGCCACGAGAAATGATTAAAGGATTAGAAAACATGCCATTTTAGAATAATAGTCAAAGATCTATTTAGCATAACACATAGACAGTTAAGGGGTAACTTTATTACAGTCTGAGTACCGACTTGTGGAACAAGTATTTAATAGTGGGCTCTTCAATCTAGCAGAGGAAGGTATAACACGATACAATGGCTGGAAGTTGAAGCTAGACAAACTCAGACGGGAAATGAGACATACATTTTAAATGAGGAGTGTACTTAACCATTAGAATAATTTTACCAAGGGCTGTGGTGGGTGTTTCACTACCAACTTTTAAATCCAGATTGGATGTTCTTCTAAAAGATGCACTCTAGGAATTATTTTGGGGCAGTTCTCTGGCCTGTGTTATACAGGATGTCAGACTAGCTCAGAGGTGGGCAAACCATGGCCCGCGGATGGTCCTGCCCGGCCCCTGAGCTCCTGGCCCGGGAGGTTAGCCCCGGTCCCCTCCCCCGCTGTTCCCCCCTCCCCTGCAGCCACAGGAGCGGCGGGTTGGATAAGGGGCAGGGGGTTCCGGGGGGCAGTCAGGGGATGGGGGCAGTTGGATGGGGCGGAGGTTCTGGGGGTGGTGGTCAGAGGATGGGGAACAGGGGGCGGTTGGATAGGGCAGAGGTTCTGGGGGGGCAGGGGATGGGGAACAGGGGGAGTTAGATAGCGGGTGGGGTCCCGGGGGGGGGGCGGTTAGGGGCAGGGGTCAGGGGACAAGGAGCGGGGGGGTTGGATGGGGTGGTGGGTTCTGAGGGGGGCAGTAGGTGCGAGGGGTCGGATACGGGGTGGGGGCCAGGCTGTTCAGGGAGGCACAGCCTTCCCTACCCGGCCCTCCATACAGTTTCCCATCCCGATGTGGCTCTCGGGCCAAAAAGTTTGCCCACCCCTGGACTAGATTATCAAAATGGTCCTTTCTGGTTTCAGAATCTATGAACTCCTTATAATAGGGCAGTACACCCTTTCTGGATAGCTCTTTAAGGGAGCTGTATCACAGTAGTGTGCTTGCGCTGGGTGAGCACATAATAGATTTACTAGCTGCTGAGTCTGTGTTCTGAGGACTGCATGGACTGGCACTTGCTTTGTTAAATGCTTCAGAGTTTGGGGGAATCCTGGGTGTTGATGGGCTGCTAAAGAGCAATTTGTATTACATATTTTTAAGGGATCTCCAGATTCTGTGTTCCAGTGACCGTTTGGGAGACTGTGTGAAACTTCCTGCTGCTTTATAATACATTTACATCTGCTGTGACTCTCCAAATTTAGAGTGCAGTGAGTGTGTCACCAATTTACCCCCCACATTCCCCCATACCTGGGCCAAAACACAAAGGGGCAGAGTTGCAGGGAAGTGTAAAGCTGGAGTGCCATCACTGGCATCCAGCACAGCTTTCTTTTAATGCCCCTGCCTTGTCCATTCTGTCCAGAGTCAGCATATTGGACATTCCACTGCATGAGATGCCTCCTTTTAGCAAAGGTATTGGAATGTTCTGCCATACAACCTGTCTGAGAATCTTTTGGGTGCTTCTGTAAGTTACAAATCTTGCTGGATGTTCTTGTAAGGACCGTAAAAGAAAATCAAGGGGTCCTAACACCTTAAGGGTACTCTTACAGCCAACAGAGTGCTCCAGAATGTGTGGTTCATAAATTAATTTCTGTAAGTCATGGTTTTAAGGTATCAAGTATCAAAGGGGTAGCCGTGTTAGTCTGGATCTGTAAGAGCAGCAAAGAGTCCTGTGTCACCTTATAGACTAACAGATGTATAGGAGCATGAGCTTTCGTGGGTGAATACCCACTTCTTCGGATGCATGTAGTGGAAATTTCCAGGGGCAGGTATAAATATGCAAGCAAGAGTGAGTAAGGTTTTAAGGTAGAGTTTCTTCGGAAACATTTTCTCTCCTACAATAAGTGATCTTCAGAGGGCAGAGAAAAATGCTCTATACTCATTTATGAGCTTAATCTAGCAATCAGTAAAACTAGATCAGCATGTATGAAGTCATCTTACAGGGCTTCCTGACACTCACCATTCAGCAGCATTCATTAGCTGGTAACAGTTCTTCCAAGCAACCCTTCCAAGAGCACATTTTATTGTGCTTTTGCCGTTAGTTTGGGATTAGATTTTTCATTTAATTAATGATTAAAAGCTAGTACCTGAGGCCTCAGTAAGAATTGGGAAGCCTTGAATTACTTGGTCTGTAGAGAAAACTTATGAGAGGGAATGCCTGTAACATGAAAGCTTCCTTAAAGGAGGCAAAACTGGCTGCAAAACCATTATTCATGGGTAAAATCTCCATTAACTAACTTAATTCTCATTGTAACCTGGGGAGTCCTTGCTGCTTGAACATCTGCGGGCTTTAGAAGAAAAATATATATGGAGTAAGTATTAAAGGAATCCACTGATATTGACCAGGATCAAAGGTTTGTGCCTGCATACACAAAGGAATGAAGGCTTGGTCTGATTTACACAGGAAGAATTTGTTCCACATATATTAATCTGTCAAAAAAGCCGCTTGATTTCCTTGGATAGGGTTTAAAAGACCTTTGTTTTACTTCCCCCTGCCCTTTGTTCTAGCCCCTTCATATCTTCAAATCATGTGAAAAAGCACTTTAAGAAGCACGTTTCAAAAGGGCAGAGAACAAATGTTAGGTTGATGTGTTTTAAGGCTCTTTTCGAATTAAAGGTGGTTTAAATTTTCTCTAAAACAGAATATTAATGTAGCAATGGATTAATGAATATTTTGCAGGTGGAGAAGAGTTAAATTTTTATTACATAAGAAAAAAATGCATTTCAGACTCGTTACAAAGTTATAAGGGGCACACTTTTCTTCTGTTGGCTTCATGTTCAGTGGCTTTATTCTTGGGAGAGAACGTGGGTAGGCCACTGGACCAAGAGTCAGGAGATCTGGGTTGTATTCTCATCTTTGTCATCTTGGGCAAATAATTTTACTTCCCCTCTGTGCCTGTTTTCCTTCCCACCCTTTGTCTTACCTTGTCTATTTAATGACAGGTTTCAGAGTAGCAGCCGTGTTAGTCTGTTTCCGCAAAAAGAACAGGAGTACTTGTGGCATCTTAGAGACTAACAAATTTATTTGAGCATAAGCTTTCGTGGCTACAGCCCACTTCTTCGGATGCATGGAATGGCTATATATACAAGTACTCCTGTTCTTCTTGTCTATTTAGGTTGTCAGCTCCTGGGGGCATGAACTCTTAGTATGTGTATATACAGTGGCTGTTATAACAAGGTCCCAGTCTCAGTTGAGACCTCTTTGCTGTGCTCTAATACAATTCATACACAGCAGTATCTCTTGCTGGTTTTGTTTTTTTCTAGCATTATGTTGCTTGCTGCTATTGTCATCTTCATTATGGAGCTGTTTCTCTTTTCCCTACTTGCCTCCTGTTTTTAGCATGCATTTTCTTAAATGCCGCTCTGTATAGGTCAGTGATACTGACGGTTGAAGATGTCTAACACCAGGACTCGAAAAATCCAGCTTTCACTCCCCTCCCCCACCCCAAAAATAATTCTAGTCTTTACGTTTGGGGCGGGGGAGATTCTCTTCCAAATGTAAGCAAAGTGTAACCCAGGGCTGCTCCTCAGGGTCAGCTGCTCTAGGCACTGCTTTTAGCAGACGAGTGTTCTGGGAGGAAGGGGGAGGGGTGGATTTGCAGAGCGTGATGCAGGGATCCATCCAGCAGAGCAGAGGGCTCTTAGACTTGCAGGGAGGAGGGAAGATCTATGATGAATGGATTTATTGCAAGGAAGGGGCTGCACAACACTGATTTGTGTGGGGAGTTACTATAAATATATTTATTGTGGGGTGAGGGGCTGTTTTCACTTGATTTATTAGGAGCTACTGCTTTTTGTGATGGGGTGCAGCATTAATGGATTTAGTTGTGTTGGGAGGGATTGCTTTATCTGGGAGATCAGAGTTCAGTTGGTTGCAGACCAGGATTTTCCATTCCAGCCTGCAGGAGATTGGGCAGGAGAGACAGTGGCTTGGGACACCCCAGTGTATATCAGCCTGTTGAGGAGTCTTGGGTTAGTGGTTTGTAGGGTAAATTTTTCAAGCCTTTTGACTAATGCTTTTTTTGCTTCCTATGCCTCCCGCATCTCTCTCATCTGTTGGAGTAGCTACCAAATGCACACCTCACTCAGGACTTGCTCCCAGGGCTGCTCATCCTCAGCTCCGCCATTTCATTTTTGATATTTTTTGAAAATACTTGCTGTAGTTTTAAATAGGACTAAGTTCCTCTCCACTTTCCCAAGACAGCAAGGTATAGTTATGAATCCCTCCACGGGGTATTGTCGGTCGTACTCATGAAAGCCAGGGACTAATACCAGTGGCTACTGCCAGACGTTAATGCCAACCCACTCCACTCTGTATTGTTCCTTGGTCATCCTTGGACAGACAATTGTGGTTATGTCACATTACAGGGTGGTTTTATGATGTGAACCATTGTTCACTATGGTCTGGGATGAGAACACGAGTGTATCTAATGCATGAGTATGTTGCGCTACTTAGTCACTGGTAGACTGACGTGTTCTCTCAACAAATCTGTGTGCTCAAGGAGTGATTGAATAACTACCTGCCTTTACCTAGGACTGCATTCATCACCTCTATTGGCATCCTAAGAGGTGGAGAATGTTGGAATTAATGCAGATGCTCTTACCTTTCATTCGTTCTGATTTTCAGGGTTCTCCTTATACAATGGAGGAGGGATGAATGGCACAAGCAAGATGATGGATTTTCTGGAGGAACCTCTGCCTGGTGTGGGTACCTATGAAGATTTCAATACTATAGACTGGGTGAGAGAAAAGTCCAGAGACCGGGACAGGCACAGAGAGGTAAGTTTGTTTCTTGTTGCTTTGCTTTTCGCTGGTGGTGCAAAGCAGAATTGTCTGCATATAAACCTCTATCTCCTTGTCTCTGAATACTTTAATCTTGGGACACTTATAGGAGTATCTGAGGGTGGAGGGGTTTCTCCCAGTGAGTGACCCGAGCACTATTCCACAGGTGATCTTTTAGTCCAAGGAAACGTAGATACAAAATTTTACCAAACATCAAAATGTACCAGCTGTATGAGCCCTGCATCTCTGTGCAAGGATTGTTAGTCTCTCGGAATGACACGTGGGATTGAGGAATTGAGCCAACTGAATTTATCCCATCTTTTCCTGAGTTTCTCTGCATCCAGGATGTGGGAGGTTTCTGGGAACTGCATTACTGTTATTAGGGGATAATATTTGAACTGGGGAAGATAGCGAACATACCATGTACATGGTTTTGTTTGTAAGGAAGAGCAAGATTTCTTTTTGATCACATAATGGCTATTATCAAACAATAAAAACATAGCCATTAATTTTCAGCCTTGAAAACATGTTCTCTGTTGGAGAAGACTGAAGTGAAGTAACTCATGAGTTCCTTCTCCAGCGCTTTCTGGCTATGTGTGGTGAAGGAATTGGTTTAGAATGGCAGAGAGTGCCTTAAACGGGGAATTAAGCTCACTGACATGCTCCTGTATCATAAGACACTTGTTGGCAAGCTTTTTATAGGGCAGTGACTGGCCTAAGCATATTAAATGTAACTCTGTTTGCCAAAGTATTCTTTTGAAAGTTACATTGAGCATGACACAGTAGCCTCTGTCTTAACAAGTGAGGAGTCCCCAAATCTACGACTGCCAGTCAGCACAGGAAAGGTGACAATCTTGCGTGATGCCCAGACTATCCCAAAGAGGAACAAGTACTCAAAGACCCTGTAAACGGCTGTGTAGATGCTACAAGCATGATTTCTCCCACCCCCACAGCTCCTTCATCGCTATCTATGATGGGAACTAAACCAAAGGGATTGCATAGAAAAGAAAATGAAAAACCGGTGATTGGCATGAATAGCCTTGTTGAGAAATGCCCAGACATGCTGCTAATAATGCTACCTCCTCTGTACAAACAACTTCAGACCAGGTCATACCAAAAATTACTAACTGGCCAAAAAGATCAGATTGCCACCGTAAAAAGAAACCTACAGCAGTTAATTTATCCTTTCCAAAAACTCCCTCCACCAGCCTCACTGGGTCAGTAGTAGCTATGCTCACAAACAATCCGGCTTTTGCTGCTAAAAGGCAAAATCTAAAGAAACAAGTAATTAAAATCCTTCAGCCAGAAAGGTGTCTGCTAACCTTTTTTATTCCAGTTAATGGGGATTTGTTGTTTGGCCAATGAGTCTTTTACCCAGGAAGAATAATGGACTTGCATCAGAATTGTTAGTGCGCTCAATAGCCCCCATTTGATCCTTTCATACAGCCTTCAAGAGCAGTAAGATGAACAAACTTAAAATAGTCTCTCATGTTAGGTAAACTTTATAGGGCAGAGCCTTAGAAGAAGTTATCAACCTTGATCTTGAGACTCAGAACTGTGTCTAAGCATTAAGAGACCACCTCAGAACAGTTGAATACCTCTGAACCAAAATGTCTGGCCCGAAAAGCCGCGTTGAAATAACCTTTCCATTAACTGGGATTTACACACACATGCAAGGTCTTGACAATCTCAGGAATTGAGCTTATTACAGATCAGAGTCTACTTGAGTGCCCAAAGTAATGCCCAGCCTCTGTCATTCCTCCCCTGGTCAAGGGACTAGATTGAACACACTAAGCATTTGTACCTTGCTGAAAAATATGTATCTATCTAGGAATTAGTATACTAATTGAGGGTGCATGGCATGATGACAGGTGGACATGGAATGCTCTGAAGGTAGTTCTGTTTCCACAAACTGCTCAGGACAACAGTCCTATTAATAGTAAAAATGCTGGGTTTGAGAGAACTAAAGAATAACATGCAAGTTTGTGTGTTTAAATGGGAAAAGACATTTAAGGTGAAAGTTGGATTTAATCTTTTCTTTGATTTTCCTGGTTTTGGGAAGCTTAATTGTCCTTGATCCATGCTTTTGTACCTACTCTATGTAATGCATTGCTTACAATACTGGATGTTTTGATTCTGGAAACCCTGCATTTCCTGGATAAAATCACGTGATTATAGGATAGAGTTCGAATCTTAACTCTGAATTTTGTGTATTGGTGGGAGAAACTCAGACCCTAACGTTACTATTAGTATTTTTCTAGGATTAATTAAGAACATCTGCTTCTGAAATAGATCTGTCTATGTGTCTGCTAAAGAATGTTTAATGTCTGCCTTTTTAAACCTTTCCTCCAGATTGCTAGTAAAAGTAAAGAGTCAACATGGGCCCTGATTCACAGCGTGAGCGATGCCTTCTCTGGTTGGCTGTTGATGCTCCTCATAGGACTGTTAGCAGGTGAGAAGACAATACCGTTTAAAATGAATTCCCAGTCCTGCACTATAGTGTCTGCATTGATTCCTTCTAACCCACACTCTCTTGTGTGACCAGAGCCTGTGACTTTCTGGTCCAGAGATGAGTGCCGCCATTTCTGCTTACATGGTTTTACAGTGGAATATGAAATTATATTTAAGCACTTACAGCCATAGTGCCTGTGTGTCATGATACAAAAATCAAACAAGCTAGAATTCCCCTTACTGGGCATATTAAGTCTGCTGTTACCACTGCAAATAGAAGACTCAGCCCAACAAGGAGAAAATGCTAAATCAAAGAGAAACGTCTCATCTTCATCATACCCCGTCAGTCACCAAAGAATGGCTCTGGCCAGCAGCCAAAGGGAGCAAGTTCCAAAGTTTGGGGCCCCGAGTTCTTCTGCCAGTACTGGAGAGGCCAACTCCAGGGACTGACAGCAGGAGATTTTTTTGCTCATTTTTAATTGCTGCAATGGAATAAAGGTGAGGGGGAGGGGCTCTCAGATAGCCAGTTCCCAGACCTTTCAGATTTCAGAGTAGCAGCCATGTTAGTCTGTGTCCGCAAAAAGAACAGGAGTACTTGTGGCACCTTAGAGACTAACAAATTTATTTGAGCATAAGCTTTCGTGGGCTACAGCCCACTTCATTGGATGCATAGAATGGAACATATAGCAAGGAGATGTGTATATACATACACAGAACATGAAAAGGTGGGGGTTGTCCTAACTCTAAGAGGCTAATTAATTAAGATGAGCTATAATCAGCAGGAGAGGGGAAAAAAACTATTGAATTGATAATCAAGATAGCCCACTTCAGACACTTTGACAAGAAAGTGTGAGGATACTTAACATGGGGAAATAGATTCAATGTGTGGATCAATTCAGGTTTGAATAGAGACTGGGAATGGCTGAGCCATTACACACATTGAATCTATTTCCTCATGTTAAGTATCCTCACACCTTCTTGTCAAAGTGTCTGAAATGGGCTATCTTGATTATCACTTCAATTGGGTTTTTTTTCTCTTGCTGATAATAGCTCATCTTAATTAATTAGCCTCTTAGAGTGGTAGGACAACCCACACCTTTTCATGTTCTGTGTATGTATATACATCTCCTTGCTATATGTTCCATTCTATGCATCCGATGAAGTGGGCTGTAGCCCACGAAAGCTTATGCTCAAATAAATTTGTTAGTCTCTAAGGTGCCACAAGTACTCCAGACCTTTCAGAGAGACAGATTTGCAGATAGCTTTAAATTACATCAGAAGCAACTGGAGCCAGTGGAGCAGTGATAAATCAACAGGCAGCAGCTAAACTCTTACAATAAACGATGCGGATATATTCATATTTACATAGATAATTTGCCTATTGACACATGGAAATTATACTTTGTTGTGGCCCTTTTTCATTAATGTGCGTTGGAAGAGTATTGCTAAACATCTAGCATGACCTCTGGAATATATTGTACCCAGACTTACTGATATAGATCAGATTGACTCCATTCATGGTCACCACCTTGGTAATTAAACACGTGACGTTTCCTGCAGTGTTGGAAGTTGGGGACAACTCATCTGAAGGTATCTATTCTAAGGATGTTAGGGATCATGGGAATATCACCCCAAAAACATAGACCTTGTTTCCTTACCAACTTTCTCCTATTTCCATTTGGCACGTGCCTGTGACTTTCTTGGTTTCTAGTGGCTATTGGAAATGGTTTTTTTCAAGTCCTACATTGCTCATGCCCCAGAGTCAATGTTGTTAGTATAACTGTAGATTTAGTGCTTAAGTGCTGTAAAGAGCATGAGACCTTCTTTGTTTAGGCGCTCCATAAATGTGATCTTACCCCTTCTGTACCTCAAAAATTATCTGCCACACCATATTGATGTTGGAAAAACTTACCTGCTAACCAAAATGAATTATGTTCTGATGCCTGGGGTGGGACTTGGTGCAATTTTTGTCTGTCAAATGTTGAAATATTGGGGCACTTTTCTCCCACACACATTTAAAAACATCCGTAGGTGAATCTTCTCTTTAGCTCTTCAAAAAACAAACATAAATTGTATGTACACCTCTATCCCTATATAACGCTGTCCTTGGGAGCCAAAAAATCTTACCGCATTATAGGTGAAACTGCGTTATATCAAACTTGCTTTGATCCGCCGGAATGCGCAGTCCCGCTCCCCCGGAGCGCTGCTTTACCGCATTATATCCGAATTCATGTTATATCGGGTCACGTTGTATCGGGGTAGAGGTGTACATAAGTACCGCAAGAGTTGTGTTCGGCCCTATGGTAAATGTGCCAGAATGCCACAGGAAATGTAACATTCAGGAGATTCCAGCACTCTGTGTGAGATAATTCCTAACTTTTTATCTTTGTTTTCACATTAGGTTCTCTAGCTGGTCTGATAGACATCTCTGCCCACTGGATGACAGATTTGAAAGAAGGGCTGTGTCTGTCAGGCTTCTGGTTTAACCACGAACACTGCTGCTGGAACTCCAATGAGACAACCTTTGAGGATAGGGATAAGTGCCCAGAGTGGGAGAGCTGGTCACAGCTTATAATTGGCCATGGAGAGGTGAGGTGTAAAAAGAATTGATTCTGTTGCTGGTCTGTTTTTTTGCACATTTACTTAGTCACAGGGTTCATTGCTGTAAAGCAAGCATACTTCGAGCCTGAAGTGTCCATCAGTCTTAGCACCCAATGCTGGCATCTTTCAGTTGTATGAATAAAAATAACTTCACTACTTTATGTTTAGGCTTGGCAACTTCGATTTTTTAAATATTTTTTTTTTTATAATTTTGATTGATAATATCAGTGTTTATTTTTAAGCATTTTTTAAAATTTTCAGTTGTGTAAAATTATGGGGTGTGTCAGACAATTGGATGTCAGACAATTATTTCGTGACAGACACTGAGATTCAAAACTTAAAGCTCGCTAATTGTTGAGACGCAAATTTTCAAAATCAAATGGCAAAATATATGAAGTAAATATCCTCAGATCAAACTTCTCAAGTAGTATTTCTTTGCCTATCTATACATTTTGATTATTATTGATAGAAATATTTTGTCAGTTTGTGTGCATATAGTGAAATTGATGTTTACCGACATTTGCCAATAAAAATCAAATCCTTCCAAGCCTAGTTATGTTTATGTTCTATCCAGTGAAGGAAGCTGAAAGCTTATTACATTGTGTAAAGGTATCCGTGTGCTAACACACATTTGAGTTCTTAGCCTCGCGAAGGGTTTTTTGCATAGTTTAAATCTTTTTAGGGCAATGCAGAATTTGCTGTTTTTTGGGGGTTTTTTTGGGAGAACAGGATTAAGAGCTTGTGTTCTGTACCAGTGTGTCTAATAAGTAGAACATTCATATTTGTTCAAATGGTGGTGTAGATCTTTATCCTATGTTAAGCCTGTCCTTAAAGCCACATGGTCCACTTTATTAGCCAACGTCCTGTATGCTCACAAGATATCCATTGGCTTGCCCCGTACTAAGTGGTCACCCGTATAAAACACAAATTCTACATGCTTCCCTTCTTCCCTGTCAATCTCTCTAAATATTTAATAGATAATGTGATTTTGATTGAGGGTGACAGTCTAAATCAAGCAATTTTTTTCTCCATTTCAGGGGGCATTTGCATACATTCTCAATTACTTCATGTATGTTCTCTGGGCCCTGGTATTCTCTCTCCTTGCAGTGTTGCTGGTCAGGGGATTTGCACCTTATGCTTGTGGCTCAGGAATCCCAGAGGTGAGTCTGACTGTCACTTTCCTCAAACAAAGCAGTCTGAAATATTTCCCATCATTTGGCCTAAGGTTGCTTCTGGGATAGAGGGATGTAATTGTTCATCAAAAGATGACAATACCATGGAAATTTAAGGAAAATTGCACTTTTTAAAAATGTAAAACTAGAAAAGAACAGAATGGTCTAACTTTTTGCTTCATTTCAAATTGCAGTGTTCAAATATAACTAGTCTCACATGTCTCCAAGTAATGACTGCAAAAATATTTTAAAAAGCACCTTTCCCATCAGCATGTCATCACAGAAGTTAAACACTACTATTTGTATAGCACTTAGTGTATGCCAGCCAGCAGCTCAGCAGGGATTAGTTGGTGTCCGTGACCAAACAGTTAACTTTGTTTCACTTTCAGTGAAAATATGAAAGAAATAAACTGTTTAGCAACTATAAAGTGTTTAATAAAGCTGTAAAACAAAGTCCTTGACAGCATAGTGGGCCTCTGATAAAATAGAGATCTAGTCAATTTGCAGACCAAATGTTTGAATGAAAGGCTGTAAAACTTTCCTTTGACTTTCAGATCAAAACGATCTTGAGTGGTTTCATCATTAGAGGCTATTTGGGCAAGTGGACCCTGATAATCAAAACTGTTACCTTGGTGTTGGCAGTATCATCTGGCTTGAGTTTGGGGAAAGAGGGCCCCTTGGTGCATGTAGCTTGCTGTTGTGGAAACATCTTGTGTCACCTTTTCACCAAATACAGGAAAAATGAGGCCAAGCGCAGAGAGGTAAAACAAAGATGCTGTAACCTTGTTAAAAACTGCAGGGCTTTGTGGGGCTTTGCACTAGGTGCTGAATGGCTTACTACTATTTCTAGACCAATTTGGAATATAAGTAGCCAATTTTTAAAAATTTTAGAATGGTGGTTCTGCAGATCATTGAGTAAAACAATTTATCTTTAGCATACAGTATGCAAACATACTAGTATGAAGGCTACTCTGTGCATGTGTAATGTGTTGAGTATAATATTGCTGTTTATATATATATAGATAGATAGATAGATAGATACATACACTGTCTGATAGGTAAGGAATCTAGCACCAACTTCTTAATCTAACACAACTTATTTGGAGCAAAAAATATTTGTGTTTGGCTTCCCTTGTGAAAATATTTCTACCAGGAAATGATACTTTTCCACAATGTACATAGGGTAGGGATTTTTCTGGTTTGTGAGATAAATATTAGCAAGTGATATAAACTTGCTTTGATTTGATTTGACAATTCTGCAGCCTTTGAGTTATAGTATTTGCACAAGTAAAGTTCTGTGGACTTGGATAGGAGTAAACACTACTCAACCTAAGTACAGGCTGAGGTATTGGGCCATCTGACACTCAAATACCATGGAGATGGGTGCATGATAAGAGCCTAACTAGTTCAGGAGAGAATTCTAACATCTGAATTGATTTAAAATATGACCACAGTAAACAGATGAACTGACCTAAATCAATTGAAAATATATTCCATAAGTTACGACAAAATGTTATCATAACATCCTATGACATTTTATGGCAACTCTTGGAAAGTGATGGCTGAGATCCTAGTATCGCCTTGTCTGTATTATCTTTTGGCAACCATAAATACAACACTATTTTAAGACACAATTTAAGTATCATGAATGACTCCATGCAGTCTCTTGTTTAGAATTTCATGAATTAATTATTTCTAGGAAACTGGATAAAAGGTGTAAGGAATACAGATAGCCATGTGATTGTTGATTGTAGAATTAACAAGAAAATACCTTTTTGTGTTTATGCTATTGAGATGCGATTGTGACTTTGTACTGAACCTTTTTCCAAGACAAATATAGAACATGAAATCTGAGGAAGGAGGTAATTGTAAACTACATTGATACTACCAAGTTTGAGACTAGAGAGCTGTTTAAATGTTAATGATAACATTTTGTAGTAAATTATGGAATAATCTCCAGTTTATTTAGGTCATTTCACCTGTTTACTGTGGTTATATTTTAAATCAATTCAGATGTTAGGTGAGCTATACAATAGAAATCTGAGTTGTACAAAATGTACCTACTTGAACAAAGGAGTAATATAACTATTGTCCATGTCTGACTTCTATCCTCTTGATTTAGGTTTTGTCAGCTGCTGCAGCCGCTGGCGTGTCCGTAGCTTTTGGTGCACCAATTGGAGGGGTATTGTTTAGTCTGGAAGAGGTAATCTAAACTTTGTATTTACTCCTGGCATGTTATTTTGTTGCACACATACTAACTGCTTTAAACATACAGCATTTCAATCCCCTCCATGGCTGTTTTGATGCAGAGGAAGCATACACAATTAACTATCATTTGGAGTATTTAGAAGAGTCAGCTAAGCAACATAAATGCTTGTGAGTGTCAGCTGAATGCTTCGAGTCTTGAAAGGTTTACTGCTGAAGGATGTGAATTAATGTCTTTATTTTTACAGCAATACTGATAATTCCCCCACACAGCTGTGCCATTGCACGCCAGTACTAACCAGTGACCCCCCAGTTTTCATAGTCTTGTTTCCAAAACTCTGTCTCGCACTACTCCCCTGCCCCCCTCCCCCCCCTAAAAAAGATGACAGTGTACCTCAATCCTAATCTATATCCACCTTGATAATCCAGTCTTGGTTCTCTCCAAGGAGACTTTTAATTTAGTTGAGTTTTGGAGGGGTCACAAGCCACATAAATGGAATAGATCATTGCTACTCTTTTAAGAATTTAATGTTACTATTAGCAATCCTCTCATCCCTGTTCTGAGTGGTAAGATCGTGGTAGCCACTCTAGCAGCTATCTTACAGCTCAGCTCTGATGCAGCATGCCAAACTAATCAGTGATATGTAACCAGTCATTCAGCTCCAGCTGTCAGCAGTTTGTACCACAACATTCTCAAAGTAATATTCACTTACCCTGCTGGGGATGGCTTTCTATGCAGCAAATGCCCACATATGATCAGATTGACCACAAAACTTATCTTCCATGCGACCAATCAAGAATGGAACTCAAGATCAGGCCTGGGTACCTGGTATAAGACACAACTATTAATCAGTGAGGCCATCTAGATGCCCCTTTCCCCCTTACTAAATAAAAAGCATTGCCACCTTTATATTTTCAAGCCCAGAACCGTGTACCGTGTTTTGGAAAGAATTCTCCATTCTGCCTAGTATCGCTATCGATTGCACTTCTGAAATAATCTTTCATTAACATGTGTTCATTGTAAATACAGCTTGGAAATCCTATGACTTAATCCCAAAATGTGGAAGTAGACTGAAGTCTCCAATGGATAGTATCAGTAGGGTACACACATGGTGCGCTCAGGGTTACTATGCCATTCACTTTACTATATAAAAGGGTGTTCCTTTTGAATGAAGCAGTAGCTTGACTGTTCCGTGGCTTATTACTAGGCCAATTTGGAATTTTAAATAGCCAATTTTTTTAAGTTTTAGAATGCTTGGTGGTTGTAAATTGAGTAAAACAATTTATCTTTAGCGTACAGTATGCAAACACTAGTATAAAGACTACTCTATGCATGTGTGTAATTCGTTGAGTATAATATTACTGTTTATATATACAGTACTGTGTGATAGGTAAGGAATCTCGCACCAACCTTCTACATTAGAGTCCTTAACCCTACTTTATACAACGGTAGCTCTTATTGGACAGTAATTAATGTCAGTTTACAATAAATGACTGAATCTGCCTTTTCCCCCTTTTTAGGTGAGTTATTATTTTCCCCTCAAGACTCTGTGGAGATCTTTCTTTGCCGCCCTGGTAGCAGCGTTCACCCTGCGCTCCATCAACCCTTTTGGAAACAGCCGTCTGGTTTTGTTTTACGTGGAGTTTCACACACCTTGGCATCTTCTGGAGCTCGTGCCATTCATCCTTTTGGGAATCTTTGGTGGTCTTTGGGGATCTTTCTTTATTCGCAGCAACATTGCCTGGTGCAGAAGACGTAAGACAACCAAACTTGGCAAGTATCCTGTGCTGGAGGTGCTTGTTGTGACTGCCATCACAGCTGTTCTGGCTTTCCCCAATGAGTATACCCGTATGAGCACCAGTGAGCTGATTTCTGAGCTGTTCAATGACTGTGGGCTCCTGGATTTCTCCAAGCTCTGCGAGTACGTGAATGACTTCAACAGCACCACAGGGGATGATCTGCCGGACCGAGCCGCTGGCCCAGGAGTCTACACAGCTATGTGGCAGCTGGCTTTGGCCCTTATCCTAAAAGTCTTCATCACCATATTCACTTTTGGCATGAAGGTGAGAATGATGTGTAAAATGATATGCAGGTAGAAAGATTCAAATCCATGTCAGTCTTTATAAATGTTAAGAATCAAGTGTAGTAATTTTCAAATGAGTCTTAATCACTTAATAGCCTACATCTCATGGACTTTCAGTGGGATGACCTCATGCAAAGTGACTAATATGCTCTTGCAAATTTTACCCCCATTCTAAACTCCTCTAATTGTGCCCAGTTATTGGTAGTTAGCAGTGTTACTCTTAGCAGTGTTTTGCAACACTCCACTGTCACAATTACTGGGCTAAGTGCATCTCTCACCCCTGCTGTTTTCTTTGAGTGCATCCCTCTCAGGCTGTGAGCCATCACCTGTCTTTAGAAGGATCATGTGATTCTCTCAAACCAGGCCTTGCCTGCAGTCCCCTGTGATCATCACAGCAGGCCTGACTTATCTTCAGTGCCTGTGGATCTCTTTCCCCCAGGAGCAAGTGGTAACTGATAACCAGGCAGCCTTTTCAAAGCAAAGGCATTTCAGAGAAAACAGATCTCAAAAGCAATAACCCAGTGTATATGCATGCCAGCCTTTCCCTGTGGCTTACCGTTTCCCTGGATCTGGGGGGAAGGCCTCAGCGCCTTCAGACTCCTCTGCAGAGTCTTTCCCTGTGCCAGCCTGTCTTCTTGACAGCTCCTGACAGTTGACCCAGCTTCTCCTGAAAAGGTTTTCACTGTTTAGTATCTTTTTGACCTATAGGCTCCCAGCCTGGCAAAATAGTTCAAAATACTTCACCCTAGAAGTATGCCACCGTCTTGTAATTGCCCCCAGTGTTTGCTGGGAGGCTGCTTATCTAGATCCATTGGGTTGCTTTCCTACTTGTTTTATCCATAGCCTCTATTAAGCGTATAAGTCTTATAACCCAATGTACAACAATCTCACCTCACTGACCAGGCTACATAGTATTCACACAGCATCTCCACCTCCGCCACACCCACTTCTTGAGATTACTTTAAAATGGAGCAACAAGCACAGTTCTGAATTGTCTTGGTTTTGGAGGCTTAGACTAGAACTTGAGAGTGAAGTTGCATGTATAAAATATTAAGTTAATTGTATGCACAATCGCAACTTAATTTCTCACATCCTTACAGCTTCTGCATTTTTTGCAGGCAGAATCAAAGTGCACTCTTATAAAAATGTAGCCCCTGGGAATTTTTTTCAGCTTGAGTTATTTTAAATGGTCATTTCTTAAGATAGTTAATTTGAAATACCCTCCTTTGGACATGATTTGCTTTGACACCGGTTGTGAGCTATTTTCATATTTAAAAAAAAAGCTTTTATTATCATAGAGTATCAGATATGAGACCCTTTCATGCTTATTCATTTGCAACCTTTTGAGCCACTAAAATTATAATGCACTTGGAGGCTTCCTCATAAGAAACTGAAGGGGGGGAATTTGAGATGCTGGCGGTAGGACTGCAAACTAAGGTTCTTTTCCCCAGTATTTGAAAAGTGACTGATCATCTAATTCTACTAAAGGCAAACCTATGAATCACTAAATATATGCAAAACAACTTCCCCTTTAATGTTACAGTGAAGTGGTCCTTTGCTACAGTGGACAGTGCTCAAATGTATGAGACAAGAGATGTAATGCTTTCAGCTAGTCTGACAGTTTGACTGAAAGCACTTTGTACTTTATAAGCCAAATCATGTCCGAGTAAATGATGTGAATATGGCTGTGAGAATCACTAATGGTCCCTGTAAGACCTTATTCTGGGGACCACTGTGGCAAGGCTCAGTTAGAATTTTTTCATGCTGGGGAGAGGGATTTTTCTATTTTTAGCGATGGAATTTTCACTCCGTTCGGGTGTTTCACATATGACAACACACAGCAGTTGTCCAGCTGGAAAGGCATAGGGGAACACTAATATATATTGTGTGTATAGCTATTTTGTTATTCTCAGAGGACAATGACTTATTAGAAACTTATTAAACAAAGCAACAGTAACCAGGTATGTATGGTAACAAATCCTGGGTGTAGGGGGTACTTTATGTATGCAGGTATAATCCACCATAGTGTAAGTAAACCCCAACAAAGAAATAAAGACTGGCTCTGGAACACCCTACCTCACAATAAGACGTCCTTTTCAATCTGCAATTGTGTTTTGGTGCTGTGTCACCATAGAGTTATCATAAACAATGTACATGGCTTAAGATTTGAGCCTAGCATACACATTTTCATGGGAGTGCAAACTAATGGTGGAAGTGTAAGACAGGAAAGGGGGCAGTGTGTGGTACCTAAACCTTCCTCTGGGATGTTGAATGCCCCCATGTCTTTCCTTTAAATGGGGTGGGGGCTGGGGGTGATATTGTAAAGCATGGTGTCTGTTTCATTCAGTTCTTCTGCGTTTCCTGAAATGATCAGTTGTCGGCTCCTCAGGCTAAAGCAAGGTTCCTTACAGCAGAGCTCTTGCACGGTTTCAGGTGTGAGTGACAGGTAAGTACAGTTGATTACGTAGGGAGCTGAGAATGAATGTTACAATAAGGGCTGCATTATCCAGGCAGGCACCGTAGACATTGTATTTTACCTGTTCATTCAGGACGTCCTAGCAGTGTCAGTACAGTATGTATCCTTCCCTCTGCAGGCAGCAGATCAGTACATAGTTTAACGATTATCGCCAACAATCATAGTTGACGATTGCTAAACTGATTCTGCGTTCAACTTCTGTCTGTTACCCTCCGTGTATGTTGACTTACTGTTGCAAACATACCTTTACCTTACACTGATGTGTTGGATTTTTTTGGTAGGTCCCTTCGGGTCTCTTCATTCCCAGCATGGCGGTTGGTGCCATAGTAGGCAGACTACTAGGTGTAGGAATGGAGCAGCTGGCTTATTATCACCATGACTGGACTATCTTCAGTGGCTGGTGCAGTCAAGGGGCTGATTGCATCACTCCTGGCCTTTATGCAATGGTTGGTGCTGCAGCATGTCTAGGTAAGCAATAAATATTTGCTGCTAGTTTAAAGCCAAAACTTAGTGTGATACTTTGTCAGTTATCTACAGAGCTGCCTTCGGAGTTACAGAGAAATGATTTTGTGCGAAATGCTACTAGTTTTGCGGACTTTGAAACTGCTTTTATCTAGAGAGAGGAAGCTCTTTGAAAATGTACTTTGCAATGCGTAATGTATTGATCATATTTCTGCCTGGTCTAATCTGCACCAGGATGTCCTTGGAAATTAGATGAAACACTTCAGTGGGAATTTCCTGAGTAAATACTTAAATCCCTGGTCAACCTAATTGATTTTAAGCCTTTCTCTAGGCTTTCAGTCCTTCTGTCAGCCTTTCTGCTTCATGGTACAATTCTTGTTTCATGTACTCTGTTGTGGGGTTTGGGGAGCATTTCATCCATTTAACAAAAATCCTTTTTGTGAAGTAGGAGTATATCTGACTGGGTTCTACCCTGGGACACAATTCCCAACCTAATGGGCTGCAATGTGCCTTATGCTTTCCAAAGATCTGTTGTGCCTTTGGTTTTCATCACAAGTCACACCAACTTCAGTTAACGCATCCAAGTGGAAGTAGTAGAGCAAACCCTGGAAGTTTAGATTTATCTCGGTCCTGCTGCTGCTGTTTTCAGAGAGGACACGTGTCTGAAAACTCAGAATACTTACTTTTAGCCCAGTGGCCCCCAAACTTTTTATGTTGCACCCTTCCTCCCTCCGGGAGCCAGAGCTGAGAGCAGGACCACAGTTGGGGCCGGATCTGCAGCTGAGGCCATGGTTGGGGCCATTGGCTGACGCTGGGGCTGGAGCCGTGGCTGGGCTGGGAGCCAGGGGCCAAGGCTGGGGCTGCACCTGGGGGCAGGTCTAGGGCCGGGAGCAGAACCGTGGGCGGATCTGGGGCTGGAACAGAGCGGAGGGCAGAGCGGAGCTGGGTGGCGCTCCCTTCCCACCCCACTGTGGGGCCTGGCCTGGGCCCTGCCGTGCCCCCCAACATTCCTTTGCACCCCCCTAAGGGGGTACGCCCCACAGTTTGGGGACCATTGTTCTGGTGTTGGGGTTCTGTTAGGAAAAAGGAGTAATGCATTTGTTGAAATCTAAAATACTTCCTGGCTTTGGAGAAGCGTGTAAAATAAGAGGCATGTAAACATGCTATTTTAGAACATTATCAATCTTCTTGGAAGTAGATCAGTCAGTCACTTCCACTGTTGTTGGCAGAGTACTCCATATGTTGTAATAAGCAATAGCATTAAATAAACATGATTGTTTTTAATGGTCTTTGTCACTGGTGGACAAATGCTGAAGTGGAGATGTCACTTAAAGCAGAAGACCGTTACTGGAGGAAAAACTCCCATATTATTGTAAAATGTAAAAGTAAAAAAACAAAGCTTTAGAAGTAGCTATGGGGACTCAGAACTCAAGAAGGCAGCTTCATTGGGTAAAATTTTCAAAGGAGCCTAAGTGCCATTTTCAAAAGTGACTTAGGAGCTTAGGTCACTCAGGCTCTTCTGAATGTTTTTTTATCCATTTTGCTTTGAAAACCGATGTGTATGTATTTCCCAGTGTTCAAAATGCCTGTGTATAGCTAAACCAAAGCAGTTAAAAAGCCATTTGTATCCTCCCATGGCCGTCCAAGGAACTGAAGATGGCAACAATGACAGAGTCAGAATGCCACCTGGCTTGGCGGTACACTAGCCTGAAAGAAAGTAATGGATCATAAACAGTTATCTGTCCTTGTGGTTATGAGGTGTTTCAGATCTGTACTCTGCGCGTGTGTGTGTGAACAGTTTTTGAACTCTTGTCAAGGAACAATGAACAACTTTCCAGCAAGCTGGGACTAAGAAACACCAGCTGGTACTTTATTTTTATATATAAAAATATATTCGTGTGTAGATGCATGTATATTTATTACTAACTAATGGTTCTCAGTTCCCGCTTGCTGGGAAATTGATAAATGTAAATCTAAACTGTCAAAGGAAATAATTTACTAAACCAATGTAAATATCAGACACATTTCAGAGGTTCTGTTAGTTCTTCATGATAGCAGACCCACTGAATTGCATGATTCTGTCCACAAAAACATGAGGCAACAGTCCAGATCGGAAGTATGCCCGACCAGCTGATATGAATGTGTGGGGTTCCTTGAGGCTACTTCTGTGTAGTATGGGAGAGTCAAAGGGTACGTCTATACTTACCTCCGGGTCCGGCGGTAAGAAATCAATCTTCTGGGATCGATTTATCGCGTCTTGTCTAGACCCGATAAATCGATCCCGGATCAATCCCGGAAGTGCTCGCCGTCGACGCCGGTACTCCTGCTCCGCGAGAGGAGTACGCCGAGTCGACGAGGGAGCCTGCCTGCCGCGTGTGGACCGGCGGTAAGTTCGAACTAAGATAGTTCGACTTCAGCTACGTGAATAACGTAGCTGAAGTTGCGTATCTTAGTTCGAAGTGGGGGGTTAGTGTGGACCAGCCCAAAGGAACAACTCTGGCTCCTGGCTTCATGGAATTTAAGTGACACTGAGAAGCAGATCTATCCAAAACAAACTTAATGACTCCTATAATCCCAGACTAAAACGTATAACCAATCTGCTGTAAAGCATGGACATTTTGTAATTAAGTAACATTTACCTATATTCACATTTGTTTTACAGTGTAACCTTGAAAATGATGTCCTGTCTGTCCGTAGAATGTGAAGACTAGGATGTCCATCTGCTACATCCTCATGATAGCAGAGCTGACTTTAGTGTAGTATGCCTACATTGCACATCAGAAACAAGGGAGCTCTTGTTGGGAATCCCTAGGAGTGTGTCAAACTCTGAGACTTGTGTTCTGCTTTGCAGGTGGAGTAACCCGTATGACTGTGTCGCTGGTGGTTATTATGTTTGAGCTTACCGGTGGACTGGAATACATTGTTCCTCTAATGGCTGCAGCCATGACTAGCAAGTGGGTGGCAGATGCAATTGGACGGGAGGGCATCTATGATGCCCATATTCGTCTCAATGGCTACCCCTTCCTAGAAGCCAAGGAGGAGTTCTCGCACAAGACTCTCGCCATGGACGTAATGAGGCCCCGCCGGAATGACCCTGTTCTGACTGTCCTCACACAGGACAGCATGACGGTAGAGGATGTAGAGGCCATAATCAATGAAACCACTTACAGCGGCTATCCGGTGGTGGTGTCCCGGGAGTCCCAGAGGCTGGTCGGATTTGTCCTCCGGCGAGATGTCATCATTTCAATTGGTAAGAGAACCAGGGCGGAATGTAATGTGGATAAAAGCGTTGCAGTCGGAGACCTCTAAATGTCACCGGTTACAGCTTGTTAAATAGAGTGCTGTAGATGTAAGCTTCGGTGAACGTTGCCGTTATGCAATGCCTGTGATCAGGGCATGTAACTCCCATCACCCCGAGCCTTGGTATGCAAAGTGCTACTCAGCGTGTGTGTTTGACTAAATCAACGCAGCGAGAGCACTGCCAGGGAGAATAAGGCTTTGGCCCAGCAGCAACTAAAAATATTTTATTTTATTGGCTGACTTATTTTTGAAAGACAGTTTCTGCAGCTAAGCTTCAATGTGGTTGGAGTATTGTTGGTTCTGTGCACTTAAAAACAAAACCTGAGATGCACTTGAAAGAGTGGGTCTGGCTGTTGCCTTATACCGACTTGTTATTGTTTCATCCACACCCACGGCCATTTGAGATGGTGCTGCCAAACCTGCAGATGGAGGATCAAAGTCACGGAGTTCCCATCAACCTCCACTCCACAAGGGACAGGTTGAAAGGCTAGTGTGCTATTTGCGTGTCATGCTTCAGTGCCGCTTGGTGGGCAGTGTGAGCAGCTTTGCGTTGACCCAGAGCTTGAGAAATAAGGATTACTCCTTCTTCATCACAGCACTGTCTGGGGCATGTTGCAAATTCCCCTTACCCTCCTGCTTATCAGGAACTCCCCACCTACTCTGTCCTCAACTTCATGAACACAGGCACTGTCTCTGGGCATACTACCTGTTGGTGTGCTCTGTGGGATGGAATCCTTTTGCCTGGCATGGCAGAGGAGTTTGAGCAGGCAGAGCAAACATTCTCTTGAGACCCCTAATGTAGCTTGTAAGGGGGGACCCAGATCTGTGTGAACCAGCCCTGTTCATGCTCGTGTTAGTGAGAGACTCTGTAGTGCACAAAAAACACTTGTTGATTTTGGTGGGAATCTGCAGGCTGTATGAAGTACAGACTTCACTCACTGGCTCTCAGTATGGGAATGCTTGCTCTTGATATGTATCTTACTAAATATTTCAGCCATTGACAATGGGAGGGAAGGAAATGCAGAAAAGGTACATTACAGCTTAATGATTTCCTTCCTTGGGCCTGACTGCACTGGGATACAACATGGTCTCATTTAGTCAGGACTGTGCAGAGATTTTCCAGTGGAGTAGTTCGTGCTTTCTGAAGATGCACAAAAAAGAATTCGTTCCCAGCAGTCTGTCTGATCTGATTGACGAATGTCTAAGCTGGGCACCATTCTGAATCCTGACTTTTGGAAGTCAGGCCAGCCGCTCTCCTCATTATTTTAGGCAATAATGATAATTAAATGGTATCCAGGCACTGTGGTAGGTATGGCTAGTATTAGATTGGCCTGTTGTGGTTGGGAGGTGAAGTCTGCTACTCTCATTAAAGTAAACTTTACAAAGATGGAGAGTACCTTACCTGAGCCATGTCTTCAACGACTGGGGGGAATCATCTTTCTAATCAAGTATACATAGTGATCCCTATCTATTAAGTTGCTATAAAATATTATTCTCTGCTAAATATGAAAGGGACCCAATTCTGTAGCCGGGTAAGGGCATTGAACATGTTGCATACCCCTGTGTGCCTCAGTTTGCCCATCTTAAAAAGTTCTGTCTAGATGGGTAGGTTTTTTTTTCATAGATTCATAGATTCTAGGACTGGAAGGGACCTCGAGAGGTCATCGAGTCCAGTCCCCTGCCCGCATGGCAGGACCAAATACTGTCTAGACCATCCCTGATAGACATTTATCTAACCTACTCTTAAATATCTCCAGAGATGGAGATTCCACAACCTCCCTAGGCAATTTATTCCAGTGTTTAACCACCCTGACAGTTAGGAACTTTTTCCTAATGTCCAACCTAAACCTCCCTTGCTGCAGTTTAAGCCCATTGCTTCTTGTTCTATCCTCAGAGGCTAAGGTGAACAAGTTTTCTCCCTCCTCCTTATGACACCCTTTTTTGGTTGAAGGTCCTTTTATGACTAGTGCTACATAAAGGCAAACTAGTATCCCTCTCTCACTTCTCCTGAGCAGCAGATCTGTGCCCAGCATTGTTCTCTAGTCATGTCCAGAAATGCTCTTCTATAGGTGGGTTTCTTGGCAGCAACAAGGTAATGCAATTGGTCTGGCAGCACCAAAAAGTTAATCCAAACTCTGTTGTGAATGTAATGTGCTGAGCTGAAGTAGCGTTCAGGAGTGGGATGATTATGGTGCCCCGGGGGCTGGGATATCTTCAGCTGAAGAAAAGGGAGTTGGTGTCCAGTGTCCTCACCCCTCCCTCTCAGGTGGCTGGACAGATGGCTTGGGAGAGAGCCTCTGCTATTCCTTTGCTTGATTAGATGAAGGAATGGTTCTTTAAAGTTCTGTGAATGGAAACAGAGGGAGGAAAAACCTATACTTTAAATGTCTTCCCTTTATAACCCACAATGTCTCTCACTCAGAAAATGCCCGGAAGAAGCAGGATGGAATTGTGAGCACTTCAATTATTTATTTCACTGACCACTCTCCTCCGCTGCCTCCGAGCTCCCCGTCCATGCTCAAACTCAGGAGCATCCTGGACCTCAGTCCATTCACAGTGACAGACCAAACGCCCATGGAGATAGTTGTGGATATATTCCGCAAGCTGGGACTGCGCCAGTGCCTCGTCACTCACAATGGGTGAGAACGCCGCATAGAGGAATTTGGGCTGGGAATCTAATAGGGTAGCGCTGAATACAAAGCATTAAAAATTGCTTCTTGATCTCAGGGAGCCAAATTCTTCTCTCCTTTTCAACTGGTGTAAATCCAGAGTAACCCCATTGATTTAGTTGGAGTCATTCTAGTTTTACATCCATATAATAGAGAATTCAAAGCATAGAAAAAGTAAAAAGCAGGGGTAGCTCACCAACAAGTTGCGTTAAAACAATAGACCTTGCTGGTAAAGGCAGTAAACCGTTTGGGAGGGGTTAAAGCCATTAGGCACAGCACCATGTCAGATCACCGCACCTGAGAGACAGTCTTTTTCCACTTGAGCTGTGTGGAGGAAGGGCAGAGGGGCATGTGTGTGAGGACATTGGTTCTCTTCAGGACACTTTGGTGAATGCAAAATGAAATGTTTTTAGAAAAACCTGTGGAAGATGGGTATGAGGGAAGAATTAAAATAAATTGTTGACTAATATTTGTAGATCTGGTTGCTTAGATAAGGATACCCAAAGCAGATTGACCCAGTGGTCTGATCAGAAACGTAAATTCCACACTTTGCATAGAGTCTTAGCATTCTGAGCCATGGAAACATTTGATGATAATCATGGATTAGAATTGCCATCCGAGAAGCCAGGGTCATAGAGTCATTGTGGGAGGAAAATCAGGGAAAGGAGCTCATATGCTAACAATCTGTTAATTAACTTTTCAGGAAACTACTTGGGATCATTACCAAAAAGGATGTATTAAAGCACATTGCACAGATGGCTAATCAAGACCCAGATTCCATACTCTTCAATTAAAAACAGACTAATAAGTATTGGGTGTTTAACACAAAAACGAAACTTTATAAAAGACCGTGGATTTTCTCTTCTATTTTTATTAAGAAACTGGAGCTATCTTCAGAGTTTTCCTGTATGGAGCTGAAGATAATCATGTTTTTTCTACAAAATAACCAATTGCACTACGTAATCTGTGGAAATTAATCTTCTCTTTAGAAGAAAAGACTTTATAATAATGCTTTTGTGAAGTTGCATTGGAAAGATTCCATGAAGGAGTAAAGCAAAATGCTACAGAATTAAATCTGTTCCCTTATTTTATTTGAACTTTGATAACTAATGTTGGGAGGGGAAGAAAAGACTATCTAGTTTTAAGTCTTCAAAAGCCATGGAGGAGAAGGATGACTTTTGCACACAGCACTAAGATGCCTGAGAAAGAGATGATCATAACTAAGGGCCACAATTCCCAGACAGCTGCTTGGTGAAAACACAAATTTGATCTTTTTTAGGTTTCTAAAAGCAATCAGCAAAATGTTAAGGGGGCTTTTTGAGTTCTATATTTGAACCCAAGGTAAATCTACATATTCCTGCATGCAGTGTCCAGCTAAATGAGGACTTGTTTTGGAAGCTCTGCTTCTAATCAGAGTGAAGCTTCATTTTAGACTTCTCTGAATGTATTAAGTTACCCTCTGATTTGCTCGTTAAAAGTACCCAAAGGGAGAGCAGAAGGGCTCACTGGTTATATTCTTGCAACTCTCCCCTAGTTGGTTAAGACCAAGGATTTCTCCTTCTCTCTAATAAGCAATGAAAGGGTTAAGACAGAGTCGTGAGTTATTGCCCAAGTTTTACTGCACTCCTTCCAAATGATCCCTGATCATGTTACAGATATTGCACAACTGACCTCTTTCTTAATCAGCAGTGTCTTATGTTGAAGGGTATGTCTATTTTATTGGAGTTTCCCAGATCCATAATGTTTACATGTATGCATATTCTGTTCCCTTTTTCCATGCCCTTTACTGTGCCAAACTCAGGATGGAATCCTGTCTCTGGGAATGAGTAACACTGCCACTTTATGCACATTCTCCAGCTGCTGTCTGTTTTATTACCACCAACTATGCAATAAAAAACCCTTCCTGATCACTCCAGCAGGATAACTTATAACCTAGATGGTCCTTCCCAATTCTGTTTGTCCCAGATTCTAGCAAATTGAATCGGTGTCAATTAATGAGATCACTTGACCGTTTACTGACGCTTTCAAAGTACAGAAATACAACCAGAAACCAGCCTGTTCATCTTAGCACCCACCCCAGATCAATTTATAGACATGGCTAAGGATTAGCAATGGAATGCAGAGCTGCCATTCACCTCTGACTCACCGATTTGAATTCAGGGAAGTGGCCAAAATTGACTGAGCACCAAATACTTGGCCATTGCTTTTGGCAGTTCAACTATCAAGCTGCCTATGAGAAATGAGTTGTGTTCTTAGTCTAGCTCCTGATGGGCAATTATTGGGCCATTAAAACAGGCATTACATTTAGCACAAGTTGGCCATTTTTGGGGCAGTCTTGGCTAAGGACTTTGGGGACTGAAGTCCCCTCATCCTTAGACGAGGTCCATTCAGAGTAGGAGGCAACGTGGGAAGTTTACACCATCTAGGTTGCCTTTGATAAACCAGTTTTATGGATAAATCGGACTTCCATGAGCACTAAAAGTTCACTCCAGTGTAAATCAACTGATTTCTGTTTGAAGCACAGAACAAATGTTTTCAAAGCCTCTCCAGCAGTGGGCAGGTGTCACCGCTGCTTCAGCATCCTAACAAACAAGACAACAGCAGCTGCTACTCGAATCATATTGAATAGGAGAAGTCAAGTCTGCTGACCAGAATGTTATCACCACATCCAGTATCTTCTGCTTGGAAAATAAAAGCCTTGACTTTGTCTTCAGCATTTCCTGTTCAGCAGGAGACAGCTGTTTGTTCCCTCTTTTACAGGAGGAGTGGAAAATGTTTGCAATTCAGAACAAGTAGGTTTTAAATTCTGTTATCCTCAGCTCTATCAATGGGTTGCACGTGGAGTCTTGGTTTACCCTTGAAACAACTGTTTTGTCCTGTTTTCCAAGTGCTGTCCCTGATTCCTCAACAAACTAATGCTTTATGTGCCCAGTGTTTGTAAAGAACACCATGAAAAGCTATTTTTGGCTAAATTATAATCAAGCCTGCACCAAACAAACAAATCTATCTCAGCCGGAGAACAAATGTCATGTCGTGTACCCCATGCCATATTCCTAACACAGAACTTTGTTCCCTTCTCACACTTCCATTCCAGGAAGAGACAAATGGCTTTAAGTTCACATTTCTTGTAGTTTCCTTAGGTGTGGAAGACTCAAGCTCTCACCCCATGGTCCTAATTTAGTCTCTTTGAGAGCTGTTATCATTTGGACCACCATATTTAGAGAGGATTTAAAATGGCTTGTAAGATTGCCCAGTCTTGTCAGTATGTTGTATTCAAATGGATTCACCTGTTGGGTTCCCGTGTCACGTGGGGAAAGGAACTGCTGTTCAAGCACACTGTGGGCCAGGTGAGGAGATGGAAGGAAAAAACAGCAGCATGGAACATCGTAATGGGCTAGTCCAGTATCAGCCACGGCCTTGGCCCATGTTCCAAGGAGAATGGGCATCAGAGTCTCTCTGTTCCCCAACTGCCATAGGCGTATACCTGTTGAGTAATAAAAACTAACCAGGATAAGTTAAGGAGAGGAAAGGGTTTTGCTGAAATGCTGCTCACTACATAAAATTTATGGCACTAAAGGGCTCTTGGGCTTAACAGCAGGAAATATCTGCCTGGCATCCATACAAGAACGAGGTGTGAGCCGACAGATTGTTAGAATCTTGCAGCGTTTCATCCACCTTAGGTGAGTTTACTTTGGATTGCAGGCTGCACCAGCTGGCATCCCAGGGGAAGTTTGCTCACTGCATTACGCAGTAGATTCCTTTTGGTTCCTAAAGGCTGATGTGGTTGCCCAGTGTGGGTGGCACAGCCTGCAGTGGATCCTCAGTTCTGGGAGACCCTGCTTGATAAACATTCTATTGATAGAGCTGGGTGGAGGACCGTCTATGGCATCACAAAAGGAATGGAAAAGATCTGGTTGTGTTGGCCTTAGTATTCCTCCCAAAATTCATGGGTCAGGGTATTTAGAGCCCCAAATTGAAGGAAGGCTAAGGTGGTGGTTTATCATAATGGTACAGAGCAAATAATGTAGGAAGGTGGTGGTAGGAGGGACTTAAAGATGACTTTCAAAGAAAAGGAAAAGTGTGCCCCTTTTTTTTGCTGCTTTCTGATGTAAAAAGACCTGAAAGATTTTTTTTTTTTCAATAAAGAGGGTGTGTTCGGGTTTTCTTATCAATCTCCCTGTTTTGTGGGAGGACTCTGGCGAGGGCTGGAGAACTGGTAAGAGACTAGAAATGAGTGAAGCATTAACAATTGAGAGAAGACATTTTTAGTCAAGGCTGTTCTTTAAAAATGTTTAATACCTCTGTCACACCCATTCCTGTCAAGCACTGGGATGAAAAGTTGTTTGTGCAAATGGCAGTCCCTGTGCCCCTTTAATGGAAGGCTGAGAGAGCTCTAGTCCTCCAAAAATCCACTACCAAAAACAGGGAAGGAGGAAAAGACTTTATATTTCTAAGGTAAAAAAATAAGCAGAAACCATTTCTTAACTTTCTGGGCCTTCCCTCATGAGGAAGCAAGAAGGCGGCAGCGTGGGGAGAGGCAACATGATCTCTTTGCAGGATATCATCAAGATGAACTGTGATGACTGAAACATGGATGGTTCTTCTCCAACACAGTTGTTTTCCAGTCAGATGAGCTTCTGGCCTACAGTGGAGCAGCAAAAGGAACCTCAGTTTGTGTCAGTAACTGCCAACAGATAAGTGCCTGTAAATCATGTCTGAGCAGTTATGAATGAAAGAACAGGATCTCATGGGTAGTGATCTGTTTCTCAAAGGTTGCCTCCCTCTCTCTTGCCAAATATGCCCCAGATATGGTCAAGGAGATAACAGATTAACATCCTAAAAGTCCCATTTATGCACCAACTTTGTCTTAAATGATGAGCTGCAGCTAAAAGGGCACTGAATAAACCATCGCCAACAAGAGAGTTGAGCCATGTCTGCACAATGAAGCTGTACTCACTTAACTAAAGCCATTTCAAAATTAATTTAGGGCCATTCTTCCTGGTGAAACTTACCAGCAGAATTATACTGATATGCCAGTATAATTGTGCTGATAAAATTCACCATGTAGACTAACACACTATATCTGCCTGGGTGAACACTTATTCTAGAAAGTGGCCATTGTGGGAGTTATGCCAGTTTAAATATAGTCACATAAATATACAGGTAGAGTTCTGCCAATAAATTTCTCTTTCAAAATGCAGCAGTCTTGTGTTCTGTGATTGGTGTTAAAAGGAGTAAGAAGGATGCACTAGTGGATAGGGCATTGGGGAGCTCTATTACCATCTCAGGCAAGTCCCTTAATCTGCGTTAGGTCTCAATTCCCCAGCTGTACAATGCGGAGAACGCTTCCCTGCTTCGCAGGGCTGGTGTGTGAGGAAAACATAATACTCCATTAATGAGGGTGAGGTGTCTGGATTCTATCATGATGAGCAACATTTAAAAAGGGCACCATTGACCAATTGCGGGGTGTTCATAACCCTTGTATACATTGGTGCCCAGCCCACCACACCCATGCTGCCTACTCAAGAGGAGGTGGTTGCCCTACTTCTGTACATATCCTGGATCCAGTCTGGCAAGAGGTGCTCATGTCAGGCCTATCAGTGTGGGACTTGTATAAGTGGAAACTGTAAATAGGGGCCATGGTGTTAATTTATTCTTAATATTCATTCTCAATACTCAGGATAAAGACAAATGAAATGTCCCTTGAATGTCATTCTCTAGCATGGGGGCTATAGCCTACTTTAGTAACATGGGTACTATGACTTTATAGGCCGCTTCCTACTCCAGTTTTGCATTTTTTAGATCTGTGCTCTTCAGGACAGGACATTATCATCATCTTTGTCTGTCCACCTTACTTTGAGCACTACCCCAATAGAAATCCTATACACTGTCCTGGATTTGTCTGAATGAAATATTGCTGCATGATGAAAATATCACTGCTTTCCTACCGAAGTCCCTCGTCTTGGAATTCTGTAGGGCTGTGCTCAAAACCTAAGGCAGGAAACTGATCAAGCTGCAGTGCTGAGGGAAGGCTGAGTTGTAGAACGCTGCTTTGAGGCTGGGGAGCTCTGGTTTGTAAAGTTTAGGGGAAAGATCAACTGTTTTTTCTTGCCTTTGGAAGAGCTCACCCTGGAGGCCTCAGGTTTGTGGCATCTTGAAGACACTCCCATAGTACAGTAGCAGGTTTGGGGATTTTTTAGGTGGTAAGTAATAAGGATTGTGTGGATTTTGTTCCAGAAGAGGCTAGAATGTGCTCTCATTGGGGATTTTTGCAGACTAGATTAAATCAAACTGGAAAGAGAGAGGGGTAGATGAAAGGAGCAGCACGGAGGGAACCAAGTCTTCAGTGGTGTTGGCTGTCATCCTGCTTGTACCGGTGGAGGGAACATGCAGGGCCTGTGCTGCAATGAGCAAGTGACTGGAACTGACACTTGCTTTATATTAGGTTGCAGCATCTCTCCCCCATGGAACTGGAAGGGGAAACACTGGCCAATTAGTTGGGATGTTGATCGCCTTTCTGAGTGGAGGTGCTAGGCTGGATTTAACCTGCTCCCGTGGTTTCTCCTATCTGCACTACTTTTTTATTGCTCGGTCGGGGACAGGAAGTATTTCTAAAGCCAGCAGCAGCAGCCCATGTGTAGTATGATGCTGGCCACCAGATGGCAGTGCAGCCTGTGAAATGGGTAAGCCATAGGCATAGAAATGAGATGAAGAAGGAAGGGATGTTGTTTATAGGGAGGAGATTGAGACTCACAGGAGGGACCAGATAAAAAGGGCAATTTGCACTTCGAACTTCTGCAGTACTGTGAAAGCACTGAATCAACTGCAATCCATTCCTGCATCTGAAAAAGCCAGTGAACATCTAAATTAACGGGCGGATCGCTGCCCCAATACTGGGGAAGGGCGGGGG